TCTGCGCCTCAAGCTTCACCATTCACGGGCTCAACGTGCCGCTGCGAGCTTACTCCCAAGGCTGCGGTCCCATTGAGTATGGGCGAAGACACAAAGAAAGGCTCAAGAATTCGACTGCATCCGAGTCCGCAATAAAGGCTTCTGCCGGGACATGTTATGACAAATTGCAACGTGGGATGTGGTAGCAGAATTATCAGACATCGGCCTGCTCGACCTTCCGACCAGAACAGGCCTCGAAATCACTCATTCTGCCTTGAGCCTATTTCATAGGCCGCGACATAAGACTCAATGTGCCAAGTTTCCTCCCACCTTTCGAAAACTCTCCACCTCTGTGATCAGCGCTTCCTGTGGTTGTTGTAGAGGTGCGTGCCACGTGCGCGAGCCTGGAAGGGAGTGGGCGACCGTCATGTGCAGTGGGTGCCGCAGGAGGACGCGAGTCCAGCTGATGAAGGCCTCCTTAATGGAGTCGTAATCAACAAGCCCTCACGATTGGTTGCTGTTCCCCGGAGATGCTGTCATCTTTTCACTCGCAGTCTTCGGTGTGTAAGAGATCTCCAGTGTAGGGCAACTCGTCGACTTTCACTATCAACATCTGCAGGGCCCTCTGCCACTGGCTTCTAGCACATCTCACATGGACAGGTGAGAGTTCGCAGCTTGATAGCAGCCTCCTTGAGAGTGCAACCTGGCAGCAGCCAACGCTGTGAACACTGCAGTCGAAGTCTGATGCAAAGTCGGAGTGCAGGCTTGAGCAAGCTGTCTTTTGTCTGCAAAAATCAGTCAAGTCTGGACCTGAGCCGGACATAATGCTTCAAAGCACTAGCATGCACCAAACTGGCTCACTGGTTGTTGCTAAGTTTTGACAAGCTTTGCATCAGAAGTCGCCAACATCTGCCACCCTGCCAGATTCGAACCAGACAATGTAGCCGTCTCTGTTGCTTTGCCAGAATGGCCACAGATGTTGTAGCCGCCTCGCTAGCAGCCGCTCATGAGTTTCTCCTCAGGTGGAGTTCGGGTGACTTGTGTTATGGTGCAGCTTGCACAGCGCAAGCTGCAGTTCCACCTCCTCGAGCCGCAAGGGCATCGAGGTACCTGCCACTGTTCACAGAGCCATGCTAATCCGGGATCGTCATCGTCGTCATCATCATCATCATCGTCAGCATCATCATCATCATCATCATCATCATCATCATCATCATCATCGTCGTGAGTTTGTCATTGCCAGCTGGAGCAAGAATGCCCCTCGCAACCTATGCAGGGTTTATCTTACTCGCGAAAGCCTCTGTCAAGCCTGTTCTCTCCCATGTTTAAGCATTCTGCTCGAATGCCCCTGAAACCGCTTGCGCACAGGCATGGAAGAATTGGGAGAAGGGCACCGCGCGAGACGAGGCGAACATAGCCGTGCCCATAAGTCGTGCGCATTGAGGTAAACCCCCAGGCTCTGAACCCCCAAAGAAAGACCCTCAAAGCTGCCCTTGTGTCTGTCTGGACAGGGCCTCCAAGGAACACACAGCTCCCGCTTCTGTCAAGCCACCTGTCGTGGACTAGCCTTTCCCCACGACCACGATGCTTCTCAGACATTGCGGGGCAACTTTCGTCATCTACTTCAGGTTCGCGCCTTGGGAAGCGACATCGGTGCCTTGTGTTTGGACGTGCAATCGGATACCAGAACATCCAGAACTCATGTCGACCAGCCACTGGCTCGGACAGGCCTTGCAAAGCAAGACTTCTTGCCTTGTGCCATCGGCCGCCTGCAAGGCCCAGTGTCCTCGGCATGCAGGATGCCCGCCGGCTTCTTCCCACATAGTTGTTTGGTCTGTTGGGATTTGTGGGATTTGTGCGCCGGCCGGTCTTTTGACATGTTGGCACCTTCTTCGCAAATCCTGGAAGACGGAGTAGAGCGGCCCGAGGGCGCAGGCTTTCAAACAACATGAGGCATGTGATGGTTGGAAAGCGCGCGCAAGCCCTAGAACGACTCCACACCCTGAACCCCGGAAACTTGTGAACCTGAAAATCTTGCAGATTGCGTGCGCCAAGCTCTTGACCATCAACCCTAAACTGCAGAGCTGAGTGGCTCGTCCAGACAACCACAGAGCCTGAGGGTCTATAGGCCATCGAGGGTCAGGCACCGAAGCACAACGCGTGTATCAGTTTCGGTACTGGTAGACTGCAGGCTCGAAGAGCGACGGCGTTTTCCAATGGCGCTCCTGTGCATTTCAGATATTTCAGTTGTCCCCCAAGCCAGGCAGAGTTCTGAGAGTACTGAGAGTTCGTGATAGCTGAAGTCTGAGGTAGGGCTACCTTCCAGTCATCGCCAGGCGGGGCCGACCTGCCTCCTCGCTGCTTCCCCATGCACATCTTAGTCCGACACCAGACGCCGACGTGCGCCTGCTTGCGCCTACTCGCGCCCGCGCTGCAGGTGTACCTTCATAGGTCGAACGTTAAGAAGGGGCATCCTGCCATTTTTGTTGCATCGACCATGTGCCGGCTTCGGTGCAACACCTAGCCGAGATATCAAGTCCGGTGTGCTGTAAACACCCCTACAAAGGGGCGGCCACAGTGATTGCACAACATGCACTTAAGCTTGGTCTTTGCCAAGTGGTGCAACAACGTGGACAGTAAGTCTTCCTTTTCATCCTGTCTTGGCGCCTGAATTGCGTCCAAAGTGAAAACTGATGAGGTTCCGAGCCGCCGAAAAGTCAAGATGAAGCATCTCATGCTGCACGAAGTTCACGCTTCCGTCGCGCGCGTTAAGGAAATTGTGCTCCCGGACCTTTCCGTCACCGCATGATGGCAGACACGGCTATGGACCTACATCCGCGCTAGCATCATTCCCCAAAGCTCACGGCCATTCAGGTACGTTCGCATGGGTACTACCTGCTACCATGGATGTCTTACTTGCTGCAATCCGGACGTTCGGCCTCGCGGGCTCGAGCTGTATCCAGCTTTGGATGCCGCCGAAAGGATGCACTCCCAATCCCTACTTTCCCAGGGGCTGAAGCCGCCAGTGTGCGAGAAGGGACGACGCTTTCAGCTCCAGGGTCGTCTTTCGGAGTCCTAAACTCCATGCCTTTTGCTGTGGGTAGCACGTTCGCAGACCAAGAGTTGACCTGATGCTCGACACGTTCTGAGGTCGATGGAGGCATCGGCGCATGAGCCAACTTATGTCCCGTCATGACCTGTTGAGCCTCTCTGCTTCAGCGCGCCCTGTAGCAGACAAGCTCGAGCAGAGGTCTGCGCAAGTCTCTACCGCCTGCCATGCTCTTGGAAGATGCCCTGCCTGCGACTTCCCCACATCCAATGCAGGCGACGACATGCAGTGATCCGCAGCACTGGGGCGCCGAGGCGCCGAGGCGCCGAGGCGCCGAGGCGCAAGTCATGTGGCAGACGCCCCATTTCCAGAATGTGTAGCTTTCCACTTCTGAGCCAATTCCTGCAACCTCGGGTTGCAGCAGTTCGCTGGCTACTAGCACCGTCCTTGTCCTTCCTGGCCTCCGCTTGCCTGTTTGAGACCGACCAGGACTTTGCCCAGGCGGCCAGCAGCGAGTTTACCGGGTCGCAGAACCCAAGCCTCATTTGGGCTGATCTAGTGGCCTCCCAGAACAAGCTGCGGCAGTTCTCAGACGCAGCGTGCAGCTGCTTTCTTGGTTGTGCCGGGAAAAGGGAGGCCTCCACGAGATTCTGCTCAGCTCTTCTGGCAGATGATGCCAGTGCGAAGCAGCATGCGGGCAAGTGCAGTTTCGCAGGATGCTGTCAGAACCAATGCAGCCTGGTCGATTTCAGCTCCGCATAACTCTTTTCTGAGCTCTTTCTATCTCCTGTTTGCCTCAGAGAGGCTGTGGAATGGTGGAGTGAGCACATTAGGGTTTGCAACATCCAAATGTCCGGGCATGCCATCAAGCTATGGCGCTTTGCATTTCCTTGGCAGGACAGCTTCGCTGGTCAAACCTTTCAGTGCAAACTGCTCAGCAAGAAGAGATAGAATCGATTCCGAGACAGCGATGCTCTGCTCAACAGTACCTTGAAGCGACGGCAACACTGCACCAAGTCTTGGCAGACGTGCCTGTCAGCGCCTCGTGACCTTCTTGCTGCTACAACTTGCAAGCAGCTCGTGTGCATCAAGGTCTTCAAAGCAACCGAACTCTCACAACATGTCTTCGCTTCAGGTGCAGAAACGCACCATGCTCTTCAACATAACATAAGTTTCTTGGAGTAGGCGGTGGTCTGTTTCAGGTAAGGGTCTCGTCAGGACCGGGAGGTCCGAAGATTCTTGTTCTTGGCCAAGTCCAGATGCGCGTACAAGGCAAGTCGTTTTGACGGAAAGTGTGGCTTCTGCGTCGTGCAGTACTCAGTGAGGGGGGCAATGCACCCTTCCATTCCCGCCGCACTGAGAGGCTGAGAGCAGTATTCAATCATGCCGTGAATGCAGTCGCCCACGACTTGCCTGGTCGATCATTGGTATCCACATTGCTGAACAGGCCAGTTGCAAGCGCAGAAACCGCAGATTCATTGCTGGCCTCGTCTTTGAAGCCACATTGAGTCGGCCCAGTCGTCCGTGTAATCTGGAGATTTTGGTGGAGAGTCCGGATTTCAGCTTCTGCCCGTGGCGCACCACAGCTCCCCCCCCCCTCCAGATGAACACGTGCGCAGGCCCTAAACCCTACTCCCTTAGCCCTCCATGTTGAAGTCTTGTGTGTTTCAACTATTTAGGGCCGACAGCAAGCGGCACTGCACACTAGTAATCATCTTATGGCGCCCCCCCTTGTGTTGTTGAGGATCCGGAATCAGGACTCAGGGATCTGAGGTTGTTCGGCCCTCAGCTCGACCGTTCTAGACAAGTTGCCCACAAGAGAGGCATTTCTCTCATATAGTGAGGTCGTCCTCATCTTAAGGACCTTGGTCGTTAAGTACACATCCCCTGTGATGTGGCGCGCAAGGAAGCGATGGTTTTGGCCTCAGGAGTGTGAGGGCTGCCTGTTGAACCTCATGGCTTCCTGCGTGTTCTAGTTTGCTGGACTTTGGGACTTGCGCGACAGAGCGACAGGGAAGACCAAGGCACGTTCCCGACTCGCTACCCATGTTCTTGGGCATCGCTCAAATCCTCTCACAGCAGTATACACCTGATGAGCTGCGATGACTTCTTCCGGAGGGCGTGAGAAGGAAGCAGATATTTGCTTCGCGAATCGCCTGCGATCATCTTTCTGGATGAAGCTCAACAAATCAAGTTTGCCCAGGAGGTTGTTGGCCGATGCTTCGGGCACTCGACATCTCATGACCCGCACTTCGAGGATCAGCTCTGAACCCCCGGGATGGGCCATGGAGGCCCTACATCCCTCGACCGTCTTTACGCTGCGCGCTCCCAAGGGTCCATGGTTGCACCCTATTTGCCCAAGGGGCTGGAAGTCGGGGCCACCACTGCAGACCCCATCCCAGGACCGCTTCGGACGCCAAAAACAGACCAGGAATGCCTGGGACGTTGGCCGGCGCATTGAAAATCCCAGAGGTTGGTTGAGCTCGGATTACGTGCAATGTTGAAGTACTGCGCGCATGGAATGAGCATCTCTGCTCAGACTGGAAGCCAGATGCACACAAATCCAACCCCCCCTCCGTCCCTCACTTCTCTCAAGGGGCCGACTCAGAAGTCGTCATGAAACTGCCCATCAGATATTTGCAAATATTTGAGCGCGGCCTTGCTCTTGTTCGCACTACAGGAATCCTAGGACTCTCGCGGCCGGAGCAAGTGAATCAAGCGCAGTAGTGTCTACAGGGACGCTGCCTTAAGACGACGATCGCACGTGGCCCTGGAATTTGCCTGCTTTGACTTCAACCTCACTTTGAACCGCTGCTGACTGTGTGCACCTCATGTGGCAATTTGTGTCAACAGTGCAAACACACCACGAAGTCAAGGGCTATTGGGGCTTGTTTCTTGCTGGGCTGACGTAACGCCCGCTGAAGTGACTTCCTATCTATATCTCTGCCGGTGCGCTGGGGTGACTTCACACGAGTTGGTGTGGCAAAAACCTGGTACTAGTACGCTCTGGTCATGGCATGTCATGAAGCCAGTGATGCGCAGCCTCCTGCTCGCTTCGTTTGCTTGGCAAGTTCTTCATCACCTTCATCTCCACTTGCCCCACTGCGTGTACGGTGGTGCAGGGCAGACCTGTCTCTCTCAGCCTGGCTCAGCTTGTAGGTCACACTATGAGAAGGGTCAGGGCTTGTTTTGCATCCCACGCGATTGGGGTGGCTAGGCGAATCTGATATTGAGAAAGTCTGCATGCCTTCCGTGTCACCAAAGCGTGACGCAGCTTGACCTTCTATGGGTTGGTGTGTGGAATCATGCTCTCTCTCAACACCCCATGCGTGTGCTGTTGCATGGCTTGACAGTCCAGCGCTAACCTCGTTCACTCCACCCGCAAAGAGAGTGAAAGTGCGGTTTTTTTGAGGTCAGTGCCCTCATCAAGGCTCGGGCCAGAGCAATGTCCAGCAAGATGACTTGGCCGGATGGTGTGACACTCCAAGGGTCCATGTACTTGCTACTTCATGGTGCATCGAAACCTTAAGCCACTGCAAAGATGGCCTGAACACGGCGATTTATTGGGCGTGGTCTCGCCAAGCAATCGGAGACATCCTTGCGATTCCCTTTTTTCGGATAGGCCATGCCTTGCCGTGCGAAAACACGCGGCGCATGCGCCAGGCATCAGGCAACTGTCACAGTATCCCTAAACCCTAAACCCTAAACCCTAAACCCTAAACCCTAAACACAGTATCCCTAAACCCTAAACCCTCAACCCCTAAACCCCTAAATCTGCAGCCCCAAAAGGCGACCTGCAGAGCTACTTGCCCTGTGGCCAGCTCTGTCCGTTTGGCGCATGACTGGAGAATATCTGACCTCACATGTCTCTTGCTCCTGTTCTTGTGCTACGGAAGGAGGAGGAATCCTGTTCGATGATCTTGCGATGACTTTGTGCGGCTGTGCTGCTGCCAGCTGATTCACCGCCGCTTACCGGGTGTGCGTAAGCAGGTCTCATAACCCATCGATGACAACTCATCTTCAGGTGGCATGTTCCCCACCAGCCCAGCCATGCCAGAACCACTGATGGCATCTGCGCTTGACGGGGAGCTGACTCGGAGCTGATGGCTCAATGTCGTTCACCTTTCCTCCCACATCGCGGACCTGCGGCTGCAGTTGGCTTTGTGTTCGTGCAGGTTCGCAGAGTTCGCAGAGGTTTCCAGAGGAAGTCGCATGTGGGGAACATGTGTGGTGAACATGTGTGGTGAACACCGCATGTTGCACGTGTACATCCTACACTCTCGGCTTCAAAAAGATGTCTAGACCACGCTTGAGGCCAACCCGTGTGCAGGGAAGCTGGGTTCAAGCGAAGGCTGAAGCTCTGCCACGGCAGCCTGGGTTTGTGGGAGCAGTGTGAGAGGGGGGGTGGACTCAGTGGACTCTCTCGGTTCTGGGCACATTGCCAAACATAGCTTCGTCGCGGACCTAGGGTGCATAAGGGCCTATAGGGCTGATGGCCCTTGCGGAGTGCACATGCCTGTTCCTTTGGCAAAGTTGGCATCCATACGCCCGCAAGTACCTTTAGGCCCTCGCAATCCTGTCTCAAGATTTCCTGGTGTTCTGAGGATATGTTGCAGACTGTCCTGATGACGGCCCTGAAATTTGTCTGGGGGTTTGGATGTCACGGAGGCCAAGTGATGCCTTGGCGTGCGAGTGAGAAGATGGGAGCGAAACATGCACTGCATGACCAATGCCCGGGCGACTCCGTGACTGACGCAGGGTTATCGGGCTTTCGCTTATAAGGACTGCCCTTGCGGATCCCGTCGGCAGCCCTGCACCAGAAGCTTGCAGCCAGGGGTAATGCATAGTGTGTCTCAGCGCTCCTTGGGCCAAGCAGGTTGTGGTTAGGGATGCACACAGCTGTCGCCGCAGAGTCTACGTGCTCTCTACGAAGATTGGGAAGCTGTTGCAGTGAATTCTTAGACTCCACTTAGCCCTGCCACTTGCTGTTTTCGGAATGGCCCGCATAGTCCGTCCAAAAGCTGTCCAGTACTGTCTGCCGGCATCTGTCATGCGGCATTTGGAGTGTGGACAGTGCCTTAAGGGCATTTGCGCAGATGGGACGGCTGTGGGACGCTTGAGCTTCGAAGGAGTCAGTCATGTAATTCATGTAACCTACAGGGCTGCTCATCTGCTCCGAGAATGCGGCACATGAAAACGTCAGGCAGCTTCACGCAGGAGAGCTCATGATAGCTGAAGTGGGAAGGGCCACTGCGCTTCAGGCCTTCCCTGGGTGAGGCCGGCTTCCTCACTTAGATTAGTCCTTTTTGGCTCTGCGCTGCCAGCAAACTTGCATTCCTCATCTTCATGACGTTTTAGCTTGCCTGCCCAGTACCACGTCCCACCGGCACGCGCCTATACAGCACGCTCATATTCACCGTCACTGAAAGAAGCTGTGTTCACAGGGCTTGCAAGCCAATCACAGGCAAAATGCGCGCCAAGCTTGATCCGCGTTCTTGTCTTCCGCCCTGAGCGAAGCGATCGGCGGGCAATTGTCCAGGCATGTTCGCTCTGCGCAGTATGCTTCCCCGGCCCCCGCGTCACCACGGTCACCACGTGATGGGAAACAAGCCTATGAGTCTGGACTCGCGCTGCGCAGCATCCTTCCTCAAAGCCCACGGCCATTCCGGCACATTTGCTTGGGCACTACCTGTTGCCATGGATGTCTTGCTTGCGGCAGTCAGGACGTTCGGCCTCTCAGGTTCGAGCTGCATCCAGGTTTGGATGCAGCCGAAAGAATGCGCTGCCAAGCGCTACTTTCCCAGGGGCTGAAGCCGCCAGTGCGCGAGAAGGGACGACGCTTTCAGCTCCAGGGTCGTCTTTCCGAGTCCTAAACTCCATGCCGGTTGCAGAGCATGTGCGCAGATTGATTGAGACTGCTTGAGTTGACCTGATGCTCGACACGTTCTGAGGTCGATGGAGGCATCGGCGCATTCGAGCCACACCGCTTGTGTCCCGTCATGATGTGTTGAGCCTCTCTTTTTCAGCGCGCCCTGTCGCAAACAAGTTCGAGCAGAGGTCCGCGCAAGTCTCTGCCACCGGCCATGCTCTTGGAAGATGCCCTGCCTGCTGCGACATGCAGTGATCCGCAGCACCGAGGTATACCGAGGTGCCGGTCCGCCGACGCCCCATTTCCAGAATGTGTAGCTTTCCACTTCTGAGCCTCTTGCAACCTCGGACTGCAGCAGTTGCGCTCGCACGAAGCATCCCTTGTCCCGCTGGCTACTAGCGTTACTGGCACCGTCCTTGTCCTTCCTGGCCTCCGCTTGCCTGTTTGAGACCGACCAGGACTTTGCCCAGGCGGCCAGCAACGAGCTTACCGGAGTTGCAGAACCCAAGCCTCATTTGGGCTGATCTCGTGGCCGCCCAGAACAAGCTGCGGCAGCTCTCAGACGCAGCGCGCGGCTGCTTACTTGGTTCTGCCGGGAAAAGCGAGGTCTCCACGATATTCTGCTCGGCACGCGGTGCCAGCGCGTGGAGCTTCAGCTTGACGCGGAACAGTCGTAACCAGTGCAATCTGCTCGGTTTGGCCACCGTGTAACTGTTATGCCTCTCTGACTGCTGGCCTCAAACGACGGAGGCTGGGCAGAATTAGGACCATGGCATCCTCTACATTGACATGCCACTTCCTAGCCAATGCCACTCCCCGCCTTTCTCCTGTGACATGTCAGCAGAAACTGCATGATGCATCTCTCCTGATAAGTCAGGAGTGCTAAAAACTTGCCATGCTGGCCGACAGGCAGCGGCTTTCGACTTGTCCACTGCCTGCGTGCAGTGTTCGGCATCCATCTTGCACAAGCGTGACAGATTGCGTAGGCTCTCTCGCATGAATGTCACACCAGTGCAGCCGCTGTTCTCTTGCGCGGCCTGGATGTGCACCATGCAGACTTTGTAATGGCCGAGCTATGTCTCCATTTTCCTTCTGTGAGCCGTGGGCATATGCACGCAGCACTTACTTTCTTGGTATGACTTTTATGGCATAGTAGGGCCGGCGCAGCACAGACAGCCTTTGTCACATTTTTTGGGCCTCAACTGGATCTGAGGTTTGCATCGCTGCCCCTGCCTTGTCGAAGGAGCAACTCAGGGGTCAAGTAGGCGCCCGATCTTCGGACTAGGCCTTTTGGGTAAACTTGCAGGTCCCGAGGTGTGGATCCCCAAAATGGCAGGTTTGCAAGACTCGATCCTTTCCTAAGCGTTCCCTTCTTGTCAAAACCACCTGTTTTACGACAAGGCGTTCTGGTCGTTCTTCGCGGCACCCCTCCTGGGCAGGTATTGGCCTGTCCCAAGCAGCTTTGGCTGAGATGTCTGCCAGCCTGATGCAATCAGGTAGGCATCATGTCAGCATCCTCCCAAGGTGCCATAAGTCTGCGCAACTGGTGGTTAAGATGCAGAAGCAGCTTCCGCGATGCTTCTGGGCGAGGCGTGCCTCGGTAGATGTGGCCTTGTGAAGTCGTGCCATGTCGCCCGCGCACACTGGGGCAGATGGCATGGCACGGTTTGGCATTCGAGTCGATGTTTCTCAGAGGCCTGTGAACCTAAGGTAATCCGTCGGCATCGGTCGTGCCAAAAGTTGCTGCCGTCAATCACAACGTGAAGAGGCAAAGTAACTGCCCGCTTAGCACTAAACGCTAGCTGTGGAAGGGGGGAGAACCTGGAGAACCTCTTGGCTCTCGAGGCCGTAAACTGGGGTAAGGGATTTAAGCCGTTTGAGTCAAGGCCCGTGCCAGGTAGACACCGCACCGGCAGGTCCAAAAGCACAACAACATTGCTTGGATCTGGCAGTCATCTCTCTAAGCGCTAGTATACCCTAAAACCGACCCCCCCTAAAGCAGGCTCCAATGTCTGGCTGCTGTCGGCGCACTGCTTGCGCTGCCCACTCTCCAGGTCATTGGCTTTTTGAAGCTAGGTCTGTGGCATTTTGCAAGCAGCGGCTTCTGAGTGACGTCTGGCGCTGGAGATTCATCGGGCATGTAGGAGTGGGCTACATGAAGTTCTGGAAGCCCTGACTTCAGCATCCGTGGATTGTCTTCAGTTTCTGAGGTTTCCAGATCCGGTCGCATGTCCTGTGTGATTTGACAGACGCTCTGTCAGATTCTAGCATCATACAGACATCACTGAGCATGACAAGCCAGCTCACCCCTGAAGCAGAGCTTCCGACATGCCCATAGGCCGTACTTGGGAGGTCTGCGCCCATGGCCATGCTTCGCATATTGACATTACGGCAAGAATCTGATGCAGCAAGAGGTGACATGTGTCCATTTCGTCCAGTCTTCGGCTCTTTGTTGAGGCTTGGCAGACCATGTGCCGGCTTGCAGCCAATCACAGACACAAGAGACCGTACCAAAGCGAGCTTCTGACAGCATTGGCGTGCGATTCCTGATGAAGCAGGGTGTGGAAAGCTGGCTGGGCTTTTCGCTCTCAGCTGGCGAGCTGGTACTTGTAAGCATGGACATGGACTTTGTCCAGGGTGCTGAAAACGGGCTCTCAGCTGCCAGGCACGGCAAGCGTGGACTTTGCGCACAAGTCGGCGCCTTCTCTCTTCGAGATTCTAGCTTCCAGGATTTACGGATTAGGGTGGCCGATGGCGTGACGATGTTGCGGCTCCAAGGGGGCAGCTTTCGCGTCCAGCAATGCGGAGGCAGGAGGTGGATGCGAGTGGATGCGAGCCAGTCTTCCCGAATGTCTCGCACTCAGACAGGTTCATGAAAGTAACATGACTTCCGACACTCCATCTACGTGCACAACACAGTATTGAGTTGAATCTGAGCTACAGTCAAGGTTTCTTGCTCAGCTGACTTGTGGGTTGTCGCTCTCAGAGTGTCCCCTATCGTTCGCGCTTTATCATGGCCCAGGACGGGCTATTCGGCCCTACAATCCCCGTAATCAACCCTATACAGGGCCTTTTTTAAGGGGTTATAGGGCATAGTGGCCCATGTTGGGCAGCTCCCTCCAATGAGCTTGCGTTTTCGAAGTCCAACTTAAGCCGTGGGGTGCGGATGGGCAGAGTCTGGCCTACCGGCCGGTGTCAAAGGATTTCATGTAAGTCTGGAAATCGACACTCTGCCCAAAGCTCTGACGCTGCATCCATGGTGCCAGCCGTGGTAGTAGCTGTAGTTGTCATGTAGGGCTGAATCCTCGTCCACTCGCACAGGAACAAAAGGACCCCGCGCAGGTTGTACTGAGCTGGCGCTTCACGCCTCATCTCAGGTGTATAGCGTACCAACCTGCGGAGGCGATGAAGAGACACAGCGATGGTCTTCGGAGGGCGACAGACATGTCGTCTCGCCGAAGCCTTCACTGGACTTTCGCAGGGCTTTCGCGAATTTTCGGGGGGCGGCTTCTCAGATTTGGGCTCCTGCTCTGCAAAGTTCAACGCTTGAAGCTCTGCAGATGTTCCAGCACGCATGGCCCATGGCCGCTTGTGCAGCGGCCCTGCAGAACGCCGGCAAGTGCAAAGCATCTCACAACGCGACTCGACCATAAGGCCTGCAGAAAGCACAGGGTACGTAACGCCATCGCGACATCGAAGCGTACTTTCGACAACACAATCGCGGACTTGCGCGACATGCCCCCAAGCTTGCAAATGTCCCTCCTGCATCATCTGTTAATATGGGACCTTCTGATCGCAGCCCAAGTGCAACGAGACATCAACCGCACAAAAGCCGAGCAACAAGAGAGCGGCGCTGCGGGTGGCACACTGCAAGGCCATTTTTTGCACTGCTTTGGCAGACCCGAAGCCGCGCGGCCTGGCATTCATCCAACAAGCTTGGCCGTGCTCCCCATATGTGCTTGGATACATCGTGATACTTCCACGCTTCAACTATGCCACGCCCTGCTGATTCGGCCTGACAGTGGCTCCGGCAGACGTCGAGTTTCAGGGGTTTCGATGGTGGCCATGAGAGGGCCATGAGGTCCCACTGATTTGACTTGCGGATGCGGCTCAGATGTTGATTTTGCGGGTCACCAGTTGAGGCTCCCAAGACTTGCCATTAAAGGTGGAGGGATGCGAGCCACGGCGGTAACTATCGCACTTTGCGGTAACTATCGCATTTTGCAGTGCCTTCACTGTGCCGGCTCTGACTGGAACCTACGGGACCTAGAGCAGTCTTCAGGTTTCACAGCGCGGATGGGCCGGAGCTGTTTTTCAGGCGGTGCGCAGAGATCAAGTCAGCGATGTTGATACTACACCTACCCCTTTTGAGCAGGCCCCCTCTTCATGTCATGTTCAAGCCCAGTGGGCTTGCCGCCCACGGACGGATCAGAAAGGAGAAGCAGCATGGGTTTTGCTGCATAGCCGTCTAGTGTGCCGAGGATGCTGCACCTGTGTAGCGCCGAGCTCGGGGCTCCCGTTTGGGATTTCATCTCTCAGGACTAGCGAGCCCGCCCCTGCCCACGACCCTATGTCTAAACAGTTGATTGGAGAACAGGCGCTTGTAAAGACATGCAACTTAAGCCTTTCGAGCTTCCGACCTTGTAGAGTTGCATTTTGTCTGAAGCTGCAACAAATGACGGTCTGGCGGTCCGAGCAGCATAGGTCTTGCGCCTTTTTGGTGCCAGCTCATTGGGGAGCGTGGCAGCACCCCAGCGATCCCTTAGAGAGCTTTCAAGCCCGACATTGACGAACATTGCTCAGCATGCAATAGCTTAGATGGCGAATTATGACAGTTCCTGTCACACTTGAGTCCATTCTGCTCTAAGGCCATTCTTTCAGCTAATACCTTTGGACAGAAAAGCACGACAAAGGCTGTGTAGGCTTTGCTGTTCAATGGGTTCAAGGCAACCATGCCACCTGCCTGAAACAGATGCCCAAGCCTGCCTTCGAAGTTGTTCTCGCATTTCAACCACACGCATACCGCCGCAGACGCCTGTGCTTTCTTGGCGCTGAGAAACGCCCCCGGACTTGCTGCCCACTCACTCCGTCGTCACTTCGTGCATCGTTGGAGTTGATCAGTGGCCCACATTGCCGGCATTTATTGTCAGTCGTCAGCTTCGTCAGCTTCGTCAGCTTCGCAGTCCCACAAGTGCATTTGGGAAGCGTAACTTACTCTCACAGGACTCCAGCCACTAAATCAAGAAGGGCACTCCAGGTGTGCCCCAAAATTTGCTGCCCTCAGCGGCATCTGGCTTCGTGTTTGGAGTGTCATGAACCTTTACTCGCAATGTGAGTTCATGTGCTGGCTGCCGGTGCCGACACTCACGACACACTTGCACAGCAAAGGCGAGTTTCGTGCAAGGGCCCCTGAATCCGATTTTGTCTCCAGCACGGCCTTGTCCTGTCGCAAGCTGCTTGCCGAGCTCAGGGCACGCGGCCTGTATGAGGGCTTTGGAGCTCCGATCTGCCTTTTCACCGCACTGAAGTTCAAGAGTCTGATGTCTACTCGCCGGCTTCGGAAACTAATGGGTCGTCCAGCCTAACATCAAGGCTGTGCATGCTGTGGTTGGTGAATCAATCGGATTCGAGTTGCGGGAGCAAGTCGATACAGGGGCCCAGAAATGGCAGGCGTGCGACTTGTAAAAATTTCTTCCGGAGAAGCTGATGCATCGTTTTTCAAGTGAATTCCCTTGCATGGCCTCATGTGACCCCTTCAATGTGTCCCACCTTGACCATATGGGTGACCTGGGCAGCATTGGATCTCAGAAGCGGCTGAGCGATCTCTGGACCTGCTTGTGCAAGATGCATTGGGGACTCTGGAGATCTCAGTGAAGGAGCGGTTTGGAATGGTTCTTCTTTCTGTTTGACCAGTTTGGAAGGCTGCTGACTGCTGAGAAGAGTTCAGCTGAACGGGGCCTGCGACTTGGTTTTTGGGACTAAGCATGGACGAGCAGCCGCGGCCAAAGATGTGCCTTCCCTAGCTCAGCCTCGTCCCGCTTGAGCCTTCGTTCCCGTGCCACCGGCCCCCCGGTCAATTCATCTCCTGCCATCTCCTGCCGTACCCTCCGGGAAAATCCATCAGGGCGTGCCGACTCTCCTGATATCAACAAGCTGAGGACGCTTCGCTTCGCCAGGAATTTCTTGCATCCGATCCGGCCTTCGAAGTTGAGTTCCCTTCGCAGGGGGCCCCTAAGTCCTTCGCAGGGGGCCCTAACTCTGTGCCTACGAAGGCGAAGTGCTTCGTTGATGGTTCTCCACAGGGGCAGAGATCCTCTTGATTTACGCACGCACGAAACTTGCAAGACACGTTGTAGTGTTACTAAGGTTACACGTCGCAGCATCGAGCTTGGGTACGATTAGATCATGGATGGTTCATCGCGGCGCCAAGCCTCCAGCATGCTCTCCTCCCTGCGAAGCCACATTGGAACCCTCCACCGCTTTTCCAATGTCCCTCAATCTTCCGTTGCCCTTGTGTGCGGCGTGGCCGCAGGAAAAGACCGCTCAGAGCATCTGAGGAGTCACAGGTGCTCGTTGCATGGTCAGCATGGTCAGCCAGTTTGGAGTTCTCCAATTACATGTTGACCTCAACCGAACCACGCTCCAGACAAGGGCTTGCTATGTGACCTGCGCAGCCAAGATGCTGGGCCAAGGAGCGTGCTGTCAAGTTGAGCAGGAGTGTCAGCTTGTCAGCTTCATGAGTTGGAAGGCCTTGGCCGGAGGCTCTGCTTCCGCATCAGCTAACTCTTACCTTCAAGGGAGTCAATTGGCGGCCTCAGGAATGTTCTCCAGGCCACGCTTCTTACCCGAACAAAATCAGCATAGCAAGGCGAGCTTCAGCTGCCAATCAGCATAGCTTAAGGCTCTCTTCCGGGGGTATGGCAGCTGATCTCCAGCTTGTGATGCTTTGACAGCAACCAGCCTTTTGCAACCAAGGCTATCTCAAAAAAACTATGCCAGGTGCCTTTGGATACCTCCGTCAGCACAGCCGTGGACGTTAGCCTGTATGCTCTGAAGGGGCCCGAGGCTATCCGAGGCTCTCCTCAGAAGGCACCACACCTAGACATCCGGACCAAGAAGCCCGCCAAGACACTTGAAGCCAACTGAGAAGCACTCTAAGGTGTTCTTGCTAGAAGGTGAATAAGGCATGTATTGCCACCTGTTTGAGTCTGCGAGTCCACGGTGACTCCTCTTCGGCCACATTAGGCTTCCAGTTCAATCCGTGGCCGCTCTGCGACCGAAGCTTGTAGTCGTTTCAGGGTGGCTCTCTTCTCAAGAGTTGCAGCTGCTGCTTACAAAGTTACACAGTTACAGCAATAGAACACGTACTCTAGAGGCACGACCCGCAGTCCATTCTGCCAGCTACGCACTCGCACCGAAGCGCGAAGGAGTTGCAACGTTGGGCACGCGGTGTCGATGACATGAACTCGAGCTTGGCTGGCCTACCTGAGCCATGCTTCTTCCTCCATGTTCTGGGCCCTATATAGAGACGTATGTGCGTGTTCAGCTGACCTCGAATGCAGCAGCAACGAGTGAGATCTGCAATGAATGATGCCATTGCCACACTTCCCTGGCGGGCACGACTTCGAAGCCAACTTCGAGGCTGCTTGTCCGGCTGGCCCAAGCCACTTTCCATTCGCACAGTGCAGCCTGAAACTCGAATCTTGCAGCTTTTCACAGACCCAGGCTGATGTAGCCTTGCATCTTCAGCGCCAGGTGTCCAGGAGACTTGCAGTGACTTGCACTTGCACAGCCCCCTTGTAGTCCGGAGCACCTGTGACAGAGATGTGAGCAACTCCTGATACGCCATGCTCCTTGGAGGTGCAGGAGGCCATTGCAACACCAGCTTCTGCTGCAGACGCATGAAACTTCGGCTTCATGAGGCCCCATCACTACCTGGTGCCATAGTTGCTTGCGTGCTGGCTGCCAATCTCCTCAGAATACTCCTCTTCAGCTCTTCCGACATCTCCCAAAGCAAGCCTAAAAGCACGGAAGGGAGGAGTCGAAACAGTTTGTCATGCTCAGCTTGGCGAAGCTTGTTGGGCGGAGTCTGGTACGCGCCGAGGCTCAATCTGTGCGAATCTTGCATCTGATCGGCGCTGGTCACCAGAGCCAGTGACGCATCAACTTTGGGTCGCCGGTGCTTTGTTTCGCACAGCTTCTCCGTTCTCGCAGTGGTCTCAAGAACCTTCACATTAACCTCCGGACCCTGCTGGTCCTCTAAGCTTTGGACATGTGGCAGGGCGGTTCAAAACGGGTGCAACGGTTCAAAACGATTCCCAACTGGTTGAGGCAGTTTCTCAGACTGCTTTGATGGCTCCTGAGAGTTACCTGATGGTTCCAAAGCCCTTGTTAGCGTTCGCCAGCCAGCAGATCACCAATCTTTTGCCTTGCACTTCAAACGGAGCAGAACGTGACCTCAGAGCCGTAAGGTGTCTGCCACAGACTCCCTGGCCAAAGAATGGACATCCGGGACGACAGCCTGCTTTGCCCATTCTTACCCAAATCCACAGGATGCGACACTCATCAGGCTATTTATTCAAGGGAGCCAGACATGTTCTCTTGAGCCTGAGATTGTACCCATGATGATAAAGGACTCCCTCAACATGCTCCTAGCTCCGAATATGGCTCCTCTATTCCCCGTGGTGATTTTTTTCACAGGGTCCAAAAACCCTTGCCTACGACCTCCAGGGGGTATGGTTCCTTGAGTACGGTGCGGCAGGTTAATGTCG